CAGCAACGCGACTTATATACTCCACAGAGCAACAAGAGCTACTGTAATTGTTGCTACGAACTGAACAAGTAGTTGGTTTAATTGTATTTACAAAACTCCGCTAGGTTGCATTTTCTAGCCTATGTTAAACGATCTATTACAATATAAGTCGGTGTTTACATTGATGCACAAACAAACAATAGTATATGATTTGAACGATTAGAAAAACTTATATAAACAAAATATGAGATCGCTTCACATATGTATTCCTCAATTCGGACCTCCGTTTGTGTTTGTTTTTTTAATAAAGTACGGTATTTTTTTTTTTATAAATTTTCAGCAACACATATATGTAAATGCTATATGTATGTATGTCAAATTAAATGGGTTCGATATAACTCACTTTGTTGTTGAGGGGGTATATGGGGTACAATTTTGGGTTTAGTTTTGGGGTAAAACTGTTTTCCGGATCGTCCTTCCTTTCTCTTTTGATGGATGAATTAGGTTTTTATTTAAGTTTATGTTCTTGTGGGTTTTTTACGCGGCGCGCTCGATCTATTTGGATACATATGTGACTCTGTACACTGTTATTGTTGATATGTTTTTATGTAAGTATATATGCAATTTTTTATTTTTACTTTTTGTCTTGTGGAAAGCTTCACTCGGTTCACTTAAAATGGTATAACTTGCTTTTTTCAGTTTTCACATAATAATGTAAATATATATTTATCTACGAAATGTGCAACGTTATACTTTTATTGTCGTTGTTGGTTGTGGACTGTATACACTTTTTTCTTCTGTTTGTTTTCCTTTATAGGTGCCGTTTAGTAGGGCTCGAAGGTCCATGAACACTTTGGGCCTTATGGATCCTTCTAGGTTTTTTTTGGCTTACCACTTATATCACTTCAACAAAAACACTGAATTTTACTTTGAAACTATAACTAATGTATGTTTATTAACAAATTCGGACACGTCCGCTCGGGGGAAATTTCGTACGATTGTGTCACATCAAAGTAAAATTGACAAGCTATATGTGTGTGTGTGTATTACAAGTGTGGTGTGTTTACAGAGGTGGTGGAGAAGTCAAATGTCAAAGTGTTTTATTTACAATAGTTAGTGTGAATTTATGTGTGTGCGAATGTAGAGTGGATGATGCGACATCTGCTGAGGACGGTTGATGGTGGAGTCGGAGCTGCTCACTTTGTTTTTTTATTTGTAAAACTCTTTTTTCAACACTTATATTGGGGTCACCCATGTGGCTAAATTCGCCTAATAAAGGGTTAAACGACTGAAAAATCGCTACAATAAATAGTTTGAATAACAAATTTTAGTTATCCAAGAATATACTTTATTATGACTTGTACAAATCTTGCCTGTCTGATTTTAAGACTCTTGATCAGTCCCTGCGCAAAAGTTACATTCTGAACTAAAACTGAAAAATGTATAGTAATTTCAAAAACCATATAAAGACCAATCCCAAAATTTTCTGGTCTTTTATTAAATCGAAAAAAAAATCTAATATCCCGGTTCGATATTTTATAAAAACAAGAATGTCCAAGATACGTCAAATTTTTTGCTGACTTTTATAACGAAAACTTTGTATCCGAGATTGACACAGTGGATGTAGCAGCGATGCCTCCGAATCATGTCCGTTGTTCGGATTTTTATCATTAACAGATGATGTTTTAAAGAGCATCTTAAACCTTAAGTCATCGACGCAAACAGATGCGGATTGGCTATCTCTTTTTCTTTTCAAAAATTGTGAGGCCCTTATGAGACTTTTAACGGAAATTTTTTAACTTATCCATCTCTTCGGGAACATTCATGGGAAAGAAATATACTACTCCGATTCTGAAAAGTGGAAACAAAAACGATGTCTCAAATTATAGACCAATAGCTAAATCAACCACGGTTGCCAAACTTTTTGAAAGTGTTCGTTAAGTTTTGAAGTTAAGGGCAAAATGTGACACGCTGTCCAGAATGTTATTTGCCCGAACCAGCACGGTTTTTTCAAAGGAAGATCTACCGCATCAAATCTCACTATTTTTACCGAAGCTTGCCTTACGAGTTTTGAGTCTGAAAACCAAGTCGATACTTTATATTCCACCTTTTCCAAGGCATTTCATAAGGTTTCACATTGAATTTTGATCGCTACATTAGCTTGTTTTGGTTTTCATTCAAAGTTTCTCGATTGGATTAGCTCTTATTTATATGATAGGTACTGCGCTTAAGCACTGGAAAATATGTTTTCCCGTTATTTCCATGCGAGCTATATGAGTTCCCGTTTCTTATTCTCGAAATTTAGAAGGTATGCAGATGATCTCAAAGTTTATTCTGTTATAAAAAATGCTGAAAATTCCATTTTCCTTTCAATCTGATCTTAATAGGGTAATGTCTTGGTGTGAGGGAAACTGTATTAGTTTGAGTATTAATAAATGTTATCACATGGAAAGCTAAATAAAACTAATACCTCATATACTATATCTGATTGCCTTCTTAAATCAGTAGTCCAGATCAAAGATTTAGAAATTAGCTTCGTACTTCGAAGTACAGTCAAATGTACTTCTTTGCAATATTTTGTAGTTCAAGTCCTGTACTTATCGGACCTTCTGGACGATCTCCACATGGCCTGGGCGATAAATTCGTTCACACACTTCGTTTCGCCTGGGACCGATGGCATCATACCTGCGCAGCTGCAAAGGGCTCTGGAGGTGACGTTGATTGGCTCCTATTTATGCGAACAGCGTGAGGGCATCCCCAAGGCTTGCAGGGTAGCCAGTGTTGCTTTCATTCTGAAGACAAGAAAAGGCTGTTCCTTCTAGAGGAACTGGAAAAGTGGACAGTTGGGTTAAGGGAAGATTTCTAGACATCCTTATTGATCTGGCTGAATGTTACCTGAACCAGTAAGACGGAACTGATCTTGCTTACTAGGAAGTACAAGACTCACGTTGTGGCCCTTCCCTGGAGTAGTGATGTTCGTCTGCGGCCCTTAGGCAGGTTCAAGCGCTTAGGCTTGATTCTGGATAGGAAGATGTCGTGGAAGCCTTACATTGAGGAAAGGGTAAGAAAGGCGTTGGTTGTCTTTCACTGATGTAGGGGAGCTATCGGTACAAGGCGAGGCCTCTCACCCAAAGTAATTCATTAGCTCTATGAAGTCAGGTTTAAGCTTATCTTGTTTTCCGGGGCCCTTGCCTGGTGGGGGTTGTAGGTGTTCAGAGATTTTAGCCATCTCAGTCTCAGTGGTTAATCAAAAACTACAACTTTTTCCTTTCGTTTGGTATATGGGTAGTATTGGTTCATATCTTTTAAGTATGTTTATTGTATTCAAATATATGAGCATAAATGATTTTCCAAACAAAATCACTTCGTCATCATTTTGCAAATACGTGCTTGCGCTGGAAGTGAGAGAAGGAGACAAAAAGTATGTGTGTGTAGGTAATTCGGCTTTTAAGTGACAGATGGTGCAATCTTTATAACCTAATCTCAGAGTATATATGCAAACCCATACATACATACGTACATATATTGATTGCAGTTAATGTAGATCTGTTTTTGACGTAGAATTTGTTGCCAAGGCCTAAGCACGCAGCGAGACAATGAAATAAGGCGTCGTGATTCACCTGGGTACGCTCGCATCCGGCACGACCCAGCTCGTCGGATTGGGATGGATGTTTTGGTGATCACCTTGGAAGTAAAATTGCACCGCGTCAACAATAAATAAAATCGTACCCCTTCACGTGACGACGGATCTCCACCAACGTCGCTATAACACCTGGCCTTGTGTCGTTCCCTCATAACAACAGCTGTCTTAGTCCCCCAACCCCCCACCCGAATGTATCTGTCCCCTTACCGACAATCCGAGTCCGCCCACTCTGTCGTCCATCCGTCTCTCCGGTCCCGCAGTTCGCCTCCGTAGGTTCGAGGCCGGCCTATCTTCCCCTCCCGTCCAAGGCTAATGATAGCCCTTGTTGATCAGCCCCAAAACCGTACACGTATGCATACCCCAAGTTACCTCATCGTCCGAGCATCATCCGAGTCTCCCTCAACTCATACACTTCGCGTTTGCTTTAGTACTTCATTTTACGTATAATTTATTTCACAAACGAAAATTCAGTTGACATTATTTACTACAAATTAAATACACTAAAATTTCTAGACCACTGACGTATTCCTGAAACGAGAATAGTGGAGAAGAAACATGGAATTCGTCATAATAGTTCAATTACATAACCACTTGTCTACTTGGTCGTAACCCTAACGCTAGGCGCAGATTGCATCCGATAGGCCGACCGATTTCGGCCGAAGAATTTGACCGTCCGAAATGTTGCGCACACTTAACCAGATTATTTGCCGACCGTATTTGTACACACAAATATAGTTTTCATTACAATTTTTTAAGCAGTGTAATATTTTGATACATTTTAATTGACATACTCTAAACATGTGATTTTATATGTAATTGTTTTGTTTTTGCACCCAATAACTTAATTTTTCGCAGTCCATTTGTTCCTTTTCACCTGACATCGGACGAGAAAAACAAACATGTTTGAATTTATCGTCACTGACGGACGTCAACGGCCGATTTCGGTTCGGTTATCGGTTTATGTGTGAGAGCGCTCATATAATCACAAGTGTTTATTTATATCGCCCGCATATAGCCGATATCGGCCGAGCACAATTCGCCCGATGCCGGCTGCAGTGTGCGCGTAGCGTAAGCTGCCTTTTCAAATGAGTTCGCAGACTTGGTGCGCTTATGTGCGCTATTCGACGTTTATATGGCTCCGTCGTTACTCTTCGTATTACAAAATATTCAATCTAATTTTAATAATTTTAATATCTAAGCTATTTACAAGGGATGACTTATTTCTGACCCTTTGTATCCTTCAAATAATTTGTCCAAAGTTGATACTTGCGTCTGTAATCCCCACATAAGTTTCGGGAAAAACTATCATCAAATCCATTTACCGGTGTTAATAATAATAATAATAGATTGGCGCTTACACATACATTAGTGTTTGGCCGAGTTTCTCCTCCGATTTGTGGCGTGCGCCTTGATGTTGACACACAAAGCGGAGGGACCTACAGTTTTACGCCGACTCCGAACGGCGATTGTATTTTTATGAGAAGCTGTTTATTTTCATGGCAGAAATGCACTCGGAGGCTTGCCATTGCCTGCCGAGGGACGACCGCGGTTAAGAAAAAACCTTTTTCCTATATTTTTTTGCGATATTGCTTTAACCAGGGCATGAACTCAGGCGTTGCGGAGTGGAAGCGCGCACTGCTTACCACTGCACCACAGCGGCGGACCGGTGTTAGACAACCACAAAGTCGTTCACTCGGCTTTGCTGGTTGGATGCGCCTACAAGAGGGACGGAGGCGTGTACAAACTCGCGCTACTATCAAATAAGTAAATCTTTAGCTCAGATAAATCGCTCGTTGCCTTTACTCTGAGACTTCAACGGTGAAACAAAATTTGTAAGCGCCGACTTGGCGAGTAAATGCTGTGTGCACAAACTGACATTCTGATCTTGCGGCACAGATGAGATGTGCGTCTTGACAAAAATACATAAAACAGCGTGAAATCCCTATGGAGGGAGATTTCGAGGCACGCAATCTCCGCTTGTTTTCACTGGGCAGGTATGCGATTATCACCTCCTCTAAAACGTGCGTGAGGTGGGCAGCAATGATTTCCAGGGGAACAAATTTGCAGCTACTCGTTCTCGATACTGCGTTACTAATATTCGTCCCTCAGCCTTTTAAATACGTATATATCCTTTAGGAGAATGAAATCACTGAATATTTCGTTCATGCCAAAGCTTAAATTTATATATATTTACCTAGATGATTC